TGGGGCCAGGAGGTCCATGGCTCCAGTCCCTATACTCTCCCTGACCCTGCCAGGACCCTGGGGAGGGGGTGGGGAGGGAGGCTGGGCTTGCCCTTCCTGTGCACCCTTCGCTGTCATGCTCACTCTCACGGCTAGCCATGGAAAATAAACAATGAAATGAATTTTTGAGTGGAATTCCAAGGCACTGGCTTTGAGACTTACACCCAGGGCCAATCAGGACCTACTCCATCGGTTTCTGATATGCACTAAGCATCCCCTCTGGGCTAGTCCTTGGGACACAGCTGCAACAAAGCCAGGAGCACTTTCTGCCATCATAGAGCCTTGCAGACTGAGAGTAATCTAGGAAGGCCTCCTCGAGGTGGCCTCTAAACTGGGACTAGAAGGATAAGGAGACAAACGTGTGGTCCAGAAGATGTGTGGGAAGGGACCAGCCACTAGGCTGGGAAGCCCAAACTTACCGCCAACCCGCCCACCATGGTGGGAACAGCACTCCTTTGGGTTGTGGCAATAAATGGGCAGCCCTGCTTGGGAATTTTCATTGTTTGCCTCTTACAATAGAATATCAACCTGATGTGGACAGAGATTTTTCCCTATTTCATTAACTGCTGTATGTTCACTGACTAAAAAAGTGGTATGCAAGAGAGCTCAAAAACACTTTGAGTAAGTAGAAAGGGAATCCAGGTAGAGAAAGAGGAATTGCAAAGATCCTGAGGTGAGAGCATCTTGGCATAGTAAAAAAAAATGAGACCTGGAATGAATAAAACCTAAAAGATCAGCAGAGAGCACTGTGCAGGGCCTTGTAAGCTGAGGTGAGAAGAGTAGATTTTAATCTAAGTAGCGAGGCAGTGGTGATCCCCAGTGGCACCAGGGGAGGGGTGAGGTCCTGGCTCCACTCACCCTGCCAGGACCTCATGGTCTGACACCTTCACACTGGATATGCCATCCCTGGCTTCGTCTAGCGTCTGCACTGGCTCAGGCCTCCGCGATCGGCAGTCCCAGCAGCGTATGCTGGAATCGATAGAGCCTGTAAGGGCCAGCATGAAGGTGAGGTCGGGTTTGGGCTGCAGGGGCAGTACCCTGCCTAGGCCCCAGACTCACCAGAGAGGATGACTGTGGCCTCTTCATTAAACTGGACCGTGTTCACCTTCTGAGAAACAGGGATTGCCACTCAGAGGAGGCTGGACTTTGGAGGACTGAGATAAAGGCAGGGTTCCAGATGCAGGTTAAAGCAAGGGCAAAGGAGGGGTAACTGGGTGGCTCATTCGGTTAAGTGTCTGCCTTCAGCTCAGATCATGATCCCAGAGTGCTCGGATCCGGCCCCACATAGGGATCCCTGCTCAGCAGGGAGCCTGCTTCTCCCTCTCCCTCTGCCCCCCCCCACTTCTGCTCTCTCTCTCTAATAAATAAATAAAACTTAAAAAAAAAAAAAGCAAAGGCTAGAGATAGAGGAGGTGAAAGGTTTTGGGTAAATTGCATGCTGGGCCATGGGGAAAGGATCCTTGCTCTGTGATGGGTAGGGGTGGAAGGGTTTCCTGTCACCACCTACACGATAATGCGGGTCCTCTCCTCCACCCACGCTCTAATGAGGCCTCTTCTTGTTTGTACTCACCCCCGCGTGGCCCCGGAATTTGCGAACGACCTGCCCCGATGCCACATCCCACAGCACCACCGCCTTGTCCCCGCCGCCGGAACACAGACTACTGTTGTCAAAGGAGCTGGAGGGCAGAGGAGGCAAGATCAGTGTTGACCTCAGATCCCGATCTCTGCGACCCGTATCTCGGCTTGGCCCCCGGCTCACCCGGCCGCGTCCAGCACCTCGTAGCCGTGGCCACTGTAAGTCCGCAGTAGCGTCCCTCGCAACGGATTCCACAGCTTCAGGGTCTTGTCGCTGCCACACGTCAGACAGTAATTGCCATCCACTGGGGAACATCAAGGAGGGATTATAGGGCTCCGGACCTCAGAAGATAGGAGGACCCGGAATGAAGAGGGAGCTCACCATTAAATCGTACAGCTCGCACTGCCCCCTGCCCGCAGTCCAGCGTCTTCACCCGTTTTTGCGGCAGCTCCGGGCCCCGTGGTTTCGGCTCAGGGAAAGCCATTTGCTTCGGGACCCCTTCCTCGCCGCCTGACACCGGTTTGCACAGAGGATTCCGAACCCTCGGAACCCACGCTTGGATGTAACCGTATTGTCTTCCGTAGTCTACTTCCTATTACTCACTTCCGGTTCAAATGTTCGGCTCTTTTCGGGACAGTGCTGGGAGTACTGAAACCTGACTCCAGCTTCTAGCTTTCTTTCCCTACTTCTTGTTTTCAAGGAACATTTTTGGTCTCTTCTAATTCTCTGTCCCCTGGCTGGGAGGAGTCCTGGCCCCCGCCGCTGGGAACGGAAGCTCGAAGCCTGTGGGTGCCACTCTAAAAGCCACCCTCCGTTTCCGCGCCGGAAGCTGCAACTCCCGTAGCGGAAGAGGTTCGACCTCCGACCCGCCATGTCCACTAACAATATGTCGGACCCACGAAGGCCAAACAAAGTGCTGAGGTGAGGACCCCAACGTCACGGGAACAGGGCTCGGGTTGTGGGGCGAGGCCCAGGGAAGCGCTTGTCCATTTCGGGGGGCGGGACTTTGAGTGCCTCTGACCCTTGAGCCTGCCGCAGGTACAAGCCCCCGCCGAGCGAGTGTAACCCGGCCTTGGACGACCCGACGCCGGACTACATGAACCTCCTCGGCATGATCTTCAGCATGTGCGGTCTCATGCTCAAGGTGGGCGGCGCTGAGTTTCCTTTGGCGTAGCTCCGCCTGGTAGCGAAGCGGGTGGGGGGGCCCGATTCGGAATGAGGCGGGGCTGACGCTGAGGGGGCGGGGCGTGGGCCTGGCCGGGGGCGGGGCTGCGGTGTTGCCCGGCAGAGAAAGCCAGAGCCAGGAGGGAAGCCAGGGGTCCGGGTGGGTACGTGGGAAGTCGGTCTGAAGGTGGGGCCAGGTTTTAAAGTAATTTGGAGGGGACTCGTGGAGAAAGGATGGGGTTCTTAGCATCACGAGCTATGTCAAAGGCCAGTCTTCTTAGGCCTGAGAGTATGTGGTGCGGTCAGAGACGCAGGCCAAGAGAGTACGACGAGAAACTGGGTACCTGGAATAGGCTAGGGGGAATGGGACTGAGGGATTCTTGGGGATAAGGTGCAAGTTGCGTCGGGTGGAATCAGTGGGTTGGAACTCGTGCCTGGGAATGCCCCTATGGGGGTTCATTGGTGTGCCTGTCACTGACCAAATACCCCCATTCACCTGCCTTTCCCCAGCTGAAGTGGTGCGCTTGGGTGGCTGTCTACTGCTCCTTCATCAGCTTTGCCAATTCCCGGAGCTCTGAGGACACTAAACAGATGATGAGTAGCTTCATGTGAGTCTAGGCCTAGAGAAGGAAGACTCCTGAGTAAGTGGGAGAGGGGGACCCAAGCCTACCCATCCTGGACTGACACCTCTCTCCTGTCTCAGGCTGTCCATCTCTGCCGTGGTGATGTCATATCTGCAGAACCCTCAGCCCATGACGCCCCCCTGGTGATGTCATCCTAGGACTACTCTGTACGCCTTCCCCCAGGCCTGGCCCCTGGCTGTTCAGCCTCTGCCCTCAGCTGCTGTCCTGGGCTTCCCTGAATGAGGTAGTCTCAGGACTCACAGCTGGATGGAGGGAACCTGATCCTTTACCTGGGATTCCACTTCTGCTGGGCAGAGGGGAATACCCTAGGCCTACCCCTCCTGCCTGCCTTTCCCACCCTGCCTGCTGCTGGGGGAGATGCTGTCCATGTTTCTACGCGTATCCACTCGTTTTTTTGTTGAAACCAGTTAATTATTAATAAAGTTTTGCATTCTGGCTGTTCTTTGGGACCCTTCTCCTGTGCATTGCAGGTGCTCTTCCTGTTGGGGGAAGGGCTCCAGATCCTCCACTCAGGCCTTTGTTGGGGCTCTAGCCTGGAGCTTTCTGGTCGTTCACTTGCTTATTGCACAAGCCTTGTGACTTAAGTCAGCTCACTTGCTTATTTCACAAGCCTTATGACCTAAGTCAGCTGCCAGAGGCAGGACAGTGATCCCTGTCCTGTGGCAACTCAGCAGATGGGTTCTGCTGACCTGAGGAATGTGGGTTTTAATTTTCTTTTTCTTCTTTTTTTTTTTTTTAAGATTTTATTTATTTATTTGACAGAGAGAGAGCACAAGTAGGCAGAACGACAGGCAGAGGGAGAGGGAGAAGCAGGCCCCCCGAGGAGCAGGGAGCCTGATGCGGGGCTCGATCCCAGGAACCTGGGATCATGACCTGTGCGGAAGGCAGCCGCTTAACCGACTGAGCCACCCAGGCGTCCTGGGTTTTCATTTTCTTATCAGACAAATCGGGTAGTATCAGTGAGCTCGATGGACTAATAGGGATTGGGAAAAGCATGAAACACTGAGTCCTCCTCCACCTGTCACTCCTCACCTGAGTCCCATGGGTATTTCTTCCAATCAGGCTGGATACCTCCCATCCTCAGTACCCCAAGGGCAGTTCCTCTATGCATAATACTCATAGGACAGAACAGGACCACCATCAACCCCTGCTCCTAGCAAGCTAGGTCCCTCCAAGACCCTAGCCCTGAAGATCAATGGGACATCCTAGGAGTCCACGCACACACTCCCGCCTCCTAAGCAAACTACACTCGGAGCAAAGTCTGAAGCCTCTGCGTCCACGGGGTCAAAGGGACACTCCGAGGCCACTCGGAGGCGGTGAGACACTAACGGCTCCCCTGGTTAAACCAGCACCCGAGGGTGGGACACGCCCAACGCCTCCGTACACTCCTAGTGTCCCCAGGGGTTAGCGAGAGCTGAGAGGCCTCAGTCCCGTGACGCGCCCGGCAGCACCCTAGCCCCGCCCCCGCCAGCAACCATTGGCTAGGTCCGGTTCTGGGGGCGGGGCGTCTGCCCTGCCTCTCCGGGCCCGGGAAGTCCCTGGAGGCGGCTGCGGTGGCCGTGGCGGCGGCGGCGGCGGCAGTAGCTGCGGAGCCATGGCCGCCGACGCGCGGCCTTCGGGGGTCCGCGCTGGCGGTGGCGGCCGGGGCGCGTCAGGGCCCACGACGAGCTCCCGCGCGCTGCAGCCACCGCTCCCGCCTCTCTCCTTTCTTTTTTTGTTGTTGGTGGCGGCGCCCGGCGCTCGGGCCGCGGGATACGAGGTGAGCATGGCCCAGGAGCGGAAATGTACACAAGCTGGAGCGAAGCCCCGAGTAGGGTCCGGAGGTGTGGGTGGGTTTGTTCTGTGGGTGCCTAGTGAATGGTTGTTAATATGACAGTGTGGCCTGAAGGCATGCTTTGCGTCATTGAAAGGTCTGGCTGTGTGAGTCTGAGAATTGGGCTCTCTGTACCTGCCTCCTTCCTTCTGTGGGTCGGCTTGCCTAGACTTTGCATGCACTTAACTGTGTGATTGGATATATGTGTGTATGTGGGAGGGGGGGGATTGCTTGAGAGCTGGGACTCTGGAGTCAGCCTGCCTGGAGTTCCAGTCTGGCTCCCTGACTTCCTGGCTGTGTGACTTGGGGCAAGTCACTTAACCACCCTGATCCTCAGTGCTCTCATCTGAAAATGAGATAATATTGCCCCCCAAGTCCCAGGGTGGCTGCTTCCTATTTGCAAATGCCTAATAATCATTTGCTACTACTATTACTGTTAACCCAGGGTGTGAGTGAGAGCTGCCCTGAGTGGTTGTGTCAAATGGGAGTTGTATTTGTATGCCCATCTCTGTGGGTGTCCTCCCTAGAAGGGCCTGGCCCCATTTCTCTGAGTCACTCACCTCTAGTCAACACTTATCTTGTGCCCCCAGCCCCACCCCAGCCTGCTTCTTAACCTCTGTGTAACTGACAGGATGTGTGTATTTGGGGTCCCTGTGCAGACATGCCCTGTGGTGCATCCGGACATGCTCAACGTGCACCTGGTGGCCCACACGCATGACGACGTGGGCTGGCTCAAGACTGTGGACCAGTACTTTTATGGCAGTGAGTAGAGCATGGAGACTTCCCTGTGGGGCCCCCATGTCCCTTTGAGACCTTCAGATCCTTTCTGGGTCCTGGACATTGGGAGGGGGGACATTGTCCAGTTTGAGCTCCTGTGTCTAAGAATGTCCCCCTTGGCTCATTTGTCCCTGACTGCCTGACCCCTGTGCCCACAGTCCAGAATGACGTCCAGCATGCGGGTGTGCAGTACATCCTAGACTCAGTCATCTCTTCCCTGCTGATGGAGCCCACCCGCCGATTCATCTATGTGGAGATTGCCTTCTTCTCCCGTTGGTGGCACCAGCAGACAAATGCAACACAGGAAGTTGTGCGGGACCTGGTGCGCCAGGGTGAGCCTGCCCGAAGGAAGTGAAAAGAGGAAGCCCAGCTCAGCTCTGTTTCTGACCCTCCAGCTTCTGAGATTTTATCATGTCCTGTGCAGCCTGTATGTGCATGTGGCTCTGCCTGCCTGGAATTTCCCTTTATTTGTAGAACTCCTATGCATTCTACAGGGCCCCACCTCCAGGGGATCCTCAGGGAAGCCTGCCATGCAGGGGGCCCTCTGTTCCATGTCTGGCTATACTGGCTTGGGAGTGACTCCTCTTCTCCCTCCAGGCCTAGGTTTGCAGGCAGGCCTTCTTATCCCCTGCATTGCCACCCCTGGCCCCAGTCCTGGCCCTGACAATCCACCCAGACTGCCCTTCCCGCACAGGACGCCTGGAGTTTGCCAACGGTGGCTGGGTGATGAACGATGAGGCAGCCACCCACTACGGAGCCATCATAGACCAGATGACCCTTGGGTTGCGCTTTCTGGAAAACACATTTGGCAAAGATGGGCGCCCCCGTGTGGCTTGGCACATTGATCCCTTTGGTCACTCTCGGGAGCAGGCCTCGCTGTTTGCACAGGTGATCTACCAACCGCACTCCTAGCTCTGACTCCTCCCTTGGCCACTCAAGCCCCGCCCTTCCCTGCAAGCTCACCTGGCCCAGGCCCTGTCCTCTGGTCCCTTGAGGCCCTGCCTCTTGGGTGAGCTATGAATCCCATTACTGCCTGCCTCCCGCCCCCCAGCCTTTCTGCTCTGCCTCCACCCAGGATGTGACCCCACTCCAGCTGGCTCCTCCCGGGCCCCACACCTGCCCCTCATTGTAGCCCTGGCCCCACCCCATTTGCTATGATCCCGGGTCCTCAAAATGCCAGGTGGCAGGTGGAGGCCTGCCCTGCTTTTCAACTGGCTTCACAACCTTTGCCATGATGGCGTCCCCTTTCCACTCTCTGATCCCTTCCATTCTAAGGCTGCTTAAGGGGGAAAGCTTTGAGTCAGGCCCCTTTCCAAGCTGGGGTAGGTGGAAGTCTGTTCTAGCTTTGCACCCGCTCCTCCCAGCCCTCCCGCGGTGTCATCTGACCCTTCCCCAAGCTTCAAAATGAGCTGGAGCCCTTCCTCGTTTCAGACCTGCTTTTTCTAACTGTGCTCTTACTGCCCCTCCCACGCTGAGGGGATGGGTGGGTGGTGGGGAGAGGACTGGGTACCCACTGCTCCTGCCCTCTGATCCCGAACTTCATCCCTCCCCACCTCCAGATGGGCTTTGATGGCTTCTTCTTCGGGCGTCTGGATTATCAAGATAAGGAGGTGCGGAAGAAGAAGCAAGAGATGGAGCAGGTTTGGCGGGCTAGCGCCAGCCTAGAGCCCCCAGTAGCCGACCTCTTTACCAGTAAGGGCGTGTGGGGTAGGGTCAGGGCAGGCCCCAGGGGCATGGGACCTGGGACCACGCTCAGAGGGCCCTTGGTTTGCTTTTATACTCTGTTGTCATTGTCCTGAAACTCTTAATAATTTATGAACAAGGACCCAGCACTTACACTTTGCACTGGGCCCTGCAAATTCTGAGGTCCCTCCTGGGTGGGGTGTGGCAGGCTTTGACCCCAGGGCAGGTCTGGGCCACTGAGCCTGGTGTGGCATGCAGGTGTGCTCCCCAATATTTACAACCCACCGGAGAAACTGTGCTGGGACACGCTGTGTGCTGACAAGCCCTTTGTGGAGGACCCGCGCAGCCCCGAGTACAATGCCAAGGAGTTGGTCGATTACTTCCTGCAGTTGGCTACTGCCCAGGTAACCCTACTCTGCAGAGCCCATGAGACTTGTGTTCATAATGCACTGGGCCCTTTCCACGGCGCGGGCATTCCCTAACACTTCCTCATCACCCTCGGAGGAAGGTAGCATTCCATTCACCATCGCCAGGCTCCCCTCCCAGATGTGTTCATTTCTGATTAGAAGACTGCAGACAACCTTTGCTGCCCCAAATGCTCACCAAAGGCATGAGACAGCATGGCACAGTGCTTCAGTGCCCTCATCTGGGCCCAAGAAGAGTACTCAACAGCGTGAGGCTATTTTTACATGTGTCCCTATGCTCCCACAGGACCCACTTCCACTCCCCCTTCACTCCTCTACGTGCACCCACACTTGTTTTTTAAAGATTCATTTATTTTATTTTATTATTTTTAAAGATTTTATTTATTTATTTGAGAGGGAGAGAGAGAGTACACACAAGCAGGGGTGGAGGGGCAGAGGGAGAGGGAGAAGCCGACTCCCCGCAGAGCAGGGAGCCCGGTGTGGGGCTTGATCCCAGGACCCTGAGATCATGACCTGAGCTGAAGGCAGATGCTTAACGACTGAGCCACCCAGGCGCCCCAGCACCCGCACTCGTGACCACATATATAGCACGACACAGCCGTATGCAGGGGTGGCCCAGGACACCCTGGCCTGAGGAATTCTCCATTCCACCTGCAGGGCCGGTACTACCGCACCAACCACACCATAATGACCATGGGCTCAGACTTCCAGTATGAGAATGCCAACATGTGGTTCAAGAACCTTGACCGGCTCATCCAGCTGGTCAACGCTCAGGTAAGTGTGCCGGCTCATGTGCATGAATGTGCTTGGATCCCTGGCCCTTGGGTCATATGCATCTCAGTGGGTGCTCTCTTACTTTTATATTGCTACTATAACAAATGACCAACAACCATAGCGGCTGAAAACAACAGAAATATCTTACAGTTTTGTAGGCCAGAAGTCGGACACGATTCTCACTGGGTTAAAAATCATGACGTCAGCAGGGAAGGGTTCCTTCCTTTTTTTTTTTTTTTAAAGATTTTATTTATTTGACAGAGCACAAGCAGAGGGAGCGAGAGGGAGAAGCAGGCTCCCTGCTGAGCAAGGATCCCGATGTGGGACTCGATCCCAGGACCCTGGGATCATGACCCGGGCCGAAGGCAGCCACTTAACCGACTGAGCCACGCAGGCGTCCCAGGGCTGGGTTCCTTCTGGAAGCTCTTGGGGAAAGTGTCCAACTTCTAGAGGCCTCCTGCATTCCTTGACTCATGGCCCCCCATCTTGCAAGCCAGCCACGCAGCAGCTTTCTGCCCCTGCGTCTCTCATCACATCTCTTTCTTACTCTCACTCCCTCTTTCCTCTTCCACTTTTTAAAAAAATTTATTTAGGGGCGCCTGGGTGGCTCAGTCATTAAGCGTCTGCCTTCGGCTCAGGTCATGATCCTGGGGTCCTGGGATCGAGCCCCACATCAGGCTCCCTGCTCCACGGGAAGCCTGCTTCTCCCTCTCCCACTCCCCCTGCTTGTGTTCCCTCTCTCACTGTCTCTCTCTCTGTGTCAAATAAATAAATAAAATCTTTAAAAAAATTTATTTATTTGGAGAGAGAGAGTGTGTGCTAGTGCAAGGCAGGGAGGGGCAGAGGGAGAGGGAGAGAGAGAATCTCAAGCAGACTCTACGCTAAGCATAGAGCCAGACATGGGGCTCGATCTCAAGCCGCTGAGATCATGACCTGAGCCAAAATCAAGGGTTGGACTCTTAATTGACTGAGCCACCCAGGTGCCCCCCCTTCCTCTTTTAAAGACCCGTGATGACACTGGGCCCTACAGATCATCTAGGATAATCTATTTTAAGGTCAGCTTATCAGCAACCTGAACTCCATTTGCAGCCTTAATTTCCCTTTACCATGTAACCTGACAGGTTCTGGGAATCAGGACTCAGACATCCTTGGGCCTCTCACATCTGAAATGTCCTTCCCATCAGTTCTATCCTCAGGGCTGTCTACTGGTAGTCTCCATGTCCTCAGCTTCTGCTTGCTCCCAGCACCACCGTTTCACCCAAAACACCCTCAGGAACATCACCAAGGGCCTTCCAAAAGATATTTTCCAGGCCTCCCTGTGACCCCGAGGAGCCCTGGACACCTTGATCACTTTCTTCTGTAAATATCATGGTCCTGAGCTGCCAAGGCTTTCCTCCTGCCCTGGTCCGCTCCTCTGCCCACTGCATTCTATTGGAAATAGAGTCTCTTACTTCAAATCCGTAGCTTGCCACTTAGTGGCTCTGTGACCCTGAGAAATCTTAAGTGCTCTGCCTTAGTTTTCTTATCTAGAAAATGGGCATAATGGTGGCTCCCACCTGATAAGGCTGTTAGGGTTTAATGAGTTCGTTTACACAGATCAGTAGAACAGGGCCAGGTAAATAATTGGTATTATGGTGGTTGCTTATTACTGTTATTTGGGGCTGAACACCTGCTTCTCCTTTAACACGCAAGCTGCAATGTTTCCTCCTCCAGGAAGTCTTCACCAAACACAGGTGGAGCTGAGCTCTTGCCCTTTCCTCTGTGTACACACAGTCCCCACAAATACCGGTGAGGCCACAGCCAGGCTGATTGTAACAGACTATCTGTTCAATATCTCTCCTCCACTTGGCTGTGGGTTCCAGAAGAGTGGGGCTGGCCTCTGCTTCTAGATTGTGTCTGAAATCCTGAGCATATTGAAGAAGCAAGTGATTGTTTGCTGAGCAAATCCTGTGTGTGTGTAACTATGTATGTGACTGTGTGTTCAGGGGTAGACATGTGGATGCACATAAAGGCGTGTAGTCCCATTCACTTCCCATCATTCACTCAAGTGTTTAGTGAGCACCTACTGTGTACCAGGCACTGGGTTCACAGCACAAGCAGAACAAACATCTTTTTCTTCACAGAGGAGGTCACCTTCTTGTTCCTCCACCTCAGTTGAAAGTGAACCTCCATTCATTCTAACAATGGTATCATTGAGCAATAATCTGACAGTCCTGAGAAATGATCACTCCTGCCCTATAATGTCATACTTAGTTTTTCCACACACACAAAAATTTTTTTAAGATTTTATTTATTTATTTAGAGAGGGGGGACAAGCGGGGGAGGAACAGAGGGAGAGGGAGAATCTCAAGCAGACTCCCTCCTGAACGCAGAGCCTTAGGCGGGGCCTATCTCACAACCCTGAGATCATGACCTGAACCCAAATCAAGAGTCCCACGCTTAACCAACTGAGCCACCCAGGCGCCCCCACAAAAAAATTTTTAATGATAAAATTGGAATTAAAAAAAAAGTTTAGTAAAAATTTCAGGTTTATTCTCGCATCAGTGAAATTCTTTCCACGCTGGTAATGTTGAGTTGCTGCCAAAATTCAGCCTCACACTGGGCCGTTGGTTTGCACTCAAAATGTGTACTACAAGAATCCGAACCCACTGCATGCATGAAGGTGCGCACATGTGTGTGAGGATGTGTGTGCACACCTGGGGGCCCCCTGGGAAGGTGCCGGCTCCCGAGGGCTCACACACGGACACCTCCCCCCAGCAGCAGGCCAACGGGAGCCGCGTCAATGTTCTCTACTCCACTCCCGCCTGTTACCTCTGGGAGCTGAACAAGGCCAACCTCACCTGGTATTTGGGGGGAAATGGGAGCTTGGGGGGGGTTGGCCTGCCCTTCAGGTCATGACCCGGCCCTCAATGCCTCTGCCGCTGCAGGTCCGTAAAACAAGATGACTTCTTTCCCTACGCCGACGGCCCCCACAAGTTCTGGACCGGCTACTTTTCCAGCCGGCCGGCCCTCAAACGCTATGAGCGCCTCAGCTACAACTTTCTGCAGGTGAGTGGGCGCTGGGCTCAAGGGGGCGCGCAGGGGTCCCAACAGGTCAGAGGCCCCAACACATCTCCTCTGTTCCCCAGGTGTGCAACCAGCTGGAGGCACTGGCGGGTCCGGCGGCCAACGTGGGGCCCTATGGCTCAGGAGACAGTGCACCCCTCAGTAGGTGTTGAGACGATGAGGGGACGGGAGTGTGTCTGAAGCTGGACACACCGACCCTCGGCCACCCCATCGAGTCCCCTCATAAAGCTCCTGGGGACCCTGCCCTCCCACACGTGAACTTTCCCGTCTCCTTGGGGTCTGGACTGAGAGTCCTGCAGAGACCCCAGCCGGTTCACCGTCTGCCTGCAGATGAGGCGATGGCAGTGCTCCAGCATCACGACGCGGTCAGCGGCACCTCCCGGCAGCACGTGGCCAACGACTACGCGCGCCAGCTAGCAGCAGGCTGGGGGCCCTGCGAGGTGCGCGGGGTGGAGCCAGGGAGGGGGCGGGGCCTGGAAGAGGCGGGTGTAAAATGAAAGGGTGGACACCGGAAGAGGCGTGGTCAAAGACAGTGGGGTGGAGTCTAGAAATGCCTGCATGGGGCGGGGCCTGGGATGAGAGAGGCGGAGACGGGAGGGGGCGGAGCCTAGGAGCGCTCGTGGGCGGGGACAGGTAAGGGGCGGGGTCCGTGAGGGGACACGGAGGAGACCTGGGTGGGCCTCCAGAGCTGACCCATGGACCTTTACTCTCCCTCCCACAGGTTCTCCTGAGCAATGCGCTCGCGCGGCTCAGCGGCTCCAAGGAGGACTTCACGTACTGCCGCAACCTCAACATCAGTGTCTGTCCACTCAGCCAGACTGCTAAGAGCGTGAGCCGGGCTCGGGCTGGAGGGGCGGGCCAGGGAGCAGGTGGGTAGGACAACACTGGAAAATGAGGACAGCGGGGGCGGGGCCTGGAGGAGGCGGGGCTCGGACTGAGGGGCTCTTGAGGTACCTGCCGGTTGTGAAATTGGTTGGGAGGATCGGTCTGCGGAGCGATCACTTGGGGGGCAGTGAAGCTGGGGTGGGAGAGACCAAAGCACCCCATGGGGGCTTGGATCACCCAAGGACGTTGCCGCGTGTGGTGGGTGGGTTTCAAGAAGGCCTGCTGTGACCCATGCCCGATCTGGCCCTCCCACACCAGTTCCAAGTGACCATTTATAACCCCTTGGGGCGGAAAGTGGATTGGATGGTGCGGCTGCCAGTCAGCGACCACATTTTCGACGTGAGGGACCCGAATGGCACAATTGTGCCCAGCGATGTAAGCCCTTTCAACAAATATTTCTCCTATGAGTACCACCCCCCATGATTACCTCCTGCCTTGGACACCTCCTCCTGGGGATTTCTACCCCCCACCTCACCCCACCCCACGGACACATCTCCCTCCATGGATAACTCCTCCCATGGACGCCTCCCTCTCTCGGGTAACCCTTTCATTAATATCTCCCCCTCCATCAATACCTTGCGCCTCGTACTTTTTCTTTTTCTGCCCCTTAACATCATACCCCCTTGGAAACATCCGCTCGCCCTTACCCCCCTGTCCTGCCTCTCGGACAGTCTCTCCCTTTTTAATGTCTCCTCATGAATTAAAAAAATATATATATTTTAGGGGCACCTGAGTGGCTCAGTCGTTAAGCGTCTGCCTTCGGCTCAAGTCATGATCTCAGGGTCCTGGGATCGGCCCGCATCGGGCTCCCTGCTCAGCGGGAAGCCTGCTTCTTCCTCTCCCACTCCCCCTGCTTGTGTTCTCTCTCTCGCTGTTTCTCTGTCAAATAAATAAATAAAATCTTTTGATTTATTTATTTGACAGAGAGAATGAGATAGAGAGAGAGAGCATGAGAGAGGGGAGGGTCAGAGGGAGAAGCAGACTCCCTGCTGAGCAGGGAGCCGGATGCGGGACTCGATCCCGGGACTCCAGGATCATGACCTGAGCCGAAGGCAGTCGCTTAACCAACTGAGCCACCCAGGCGCCCAAAAATATTTTATTTTTTAAGATTTTTTTTTAAGTAATCTCCACATCCAATGTGGGGCTCCAATTTACAACACCGAGATTGAGTGGCATGCTCTACCAACTGATCCAGCCAGGCGCCCCGAATTTTCTTTTTTCTTTTTTTTTACTTTATTTCCCTCATCCTAGAAGGCCTCTACCTATGAATCTCTTCCTCCCCTCGAACCGCCTTTCCCTCATTCCCCTGCTTCAAGGATTTCCTTCCCCATTTCCTCCCTCACTTCCCCTTCTCCCACAGTCTCTGCACCCCGTAAGTGTTTTTCCCCCCACTTTATGAATCTTCTCTGCAATCTTTAACTTAGAATTTGACACTCCATCCTCCCTGGCCAACACCTATATTTCTTCTCCCCACCTGGGGCTCATTCTTCTCCTGGAGTTTGACCCATCCCTTTATGTACAGCTCAGTATTTATACTCACAGCCTCTTGACTCAGTTTCCCTCCTCCATTACCCAAGGTGGTGAGACTTCCTAGCTCAGATAGTTCGGAGCTGCTTTTCTCGGCCTCCGTGCCTGCCCTGGGCTTCAGCGTCTACTCAGTAACCCAGGTGCCTGGGCGGAGCCCCAACGCCCACAACCGCCAGCCCAGATCCCAGAAGTCCTGGTCCCATGGCTTGGCCATCCAAAATGAGGTGAGACTCCGTTCAGATGCCCTTCCCTTCCCCTGTGACAAATTTGAGGTGTCATGGTGAGTTGCATGGACTCTGGATCAGTGGGTCTTGGGTTCATGGTCTAGTTACCAGTCCCTCATTATGTGTCCTCCAGTAAGTGACCATCTCCCTTTGAGCCTCAGTATCCATTCCTGGGACCATGAGGACCCAGAGTCATCATGGATGACACTGGACAGATACATGAGGGCTGACAGTGGTAGGGGTTTGCAAATTAAATGAGGCAGGGCAGAGAGTCGAGGGAGGGAGCCACCCACGTGGCCATGTAGGGGAAGAGAGATCCAGGCAGGCAGGGAGGCAAAGCAAGAGCCCTCAGGCAGAAGGGTGCTGAGTGTTCCAGGAACCCCCTGGGGCTCAAGGGGCGGGTATTGGGTGACAGGTCAGACTCTGCAAGACTTGAGGGCCAGAGGGAAAGACTTTGGCTTTTACTTTGAAGCAGCCATGTCGGGAACAAGGCTGCATCAAGACTGTAATGGGCCCTAGGACTTTTGCCTTTGTGGGTCCCTTTTTCCATTAGAAAAAAAAAAAGTTAAAAATTGTATTTCATGAGCAGGTGGCTGTAAAAGACGAGTATAATGTATTCATTATTATTACATTTAAGTTTTCTTCTGATTGTAGAAGAAATCAAAATTTACATATTTCCATTGGCCCCTAAAAGTCTCCTGGGCCATGGCACTATGATTCCTTTGTCAAATGCGCGAGTCAGCCCTGGGCCCAAGCGGACTGGCTAGGATGGTATTTAGGGTGTCACTGGCGCCCTCAGGTGGCCGCGGGTGGGGGGGAACTGACTGGGGAAGCGAGCCTGGAAGGGGTCTGCCGCAGTAGTCCTAGAAGGCCATGGAAATGGTGAGAAGTGGTCAGATTGAGGAGGAGGTGGAAGGTAGAGCTGTTAGGATTTGTTAATAGGGTCAGGTGTGAGGAGAGAGAGAGAGAGGAGGGGAGGGTAGCTCCTTGGCTTTCTCCTGAGACCCAGGAAGGATGAAGAAGCTGCCCTCGCCTGAGAGGATGGTTATTAACCTGTGTCTGCCCTTTTCTACCCAGTACCTCCGGGCTAGGTTTGACCCTGACACGGGACTCTTGGTGGAGTTGGAGAACCTGGACCAGAACCTCCTGCTGCCTGTTCGCCAAGCCTTCTACTGGTGAGGGGGGCGGACCACCAGGTCAGGGAGGGGGTGTAAGTAGAGCTAAGGTCACTTACCTGACTCTCACCTGCCCCGGCCCCAGGTACAACGCCAGTGTAGGCAACGACCTAAGCAGCCAGGTCTCAGGTGCCTACATCTTCAGACCCAACCGCCAGGAACCATTGATCGTGAGCCACTGGGCTCAAACGCACGTGGTGAAGGTCTGGGGCCTTGAATGATGAGTGGGTGTGGGGGAGGTGTGGAGCTTGGGGGGGTGGTGAGCTATATGTGGGTAGGGTCAGGGGGTTGGGTTTATATCTCTATCAGATAAGAGGGCTAAGACCTGAGGGGAATATTGAGAATCTTCCCACAGGGCTGATATTCACGGCTGGTTGAGTAACAGTCATTCCTTGGGAGCAAGTACGAAGGCTTTCACATCTGCTGTGGGTGTCAGGATTATACTTAGCTTTTGAAACTGGGGGTGGGGTGTTCCCTCTTGGCCCATGAATGGGGAGAACCAGGTGTAGTGGCTTGAAGAGTTCACCAAGGATCTGTGCTGGAGGGGATTATATCTGAGGTGGATATTTGAGAGTTCACACTTGGATAGCGCTTGGGTGATTCTCACTTAGGATGGATATCTGAGGGTGCATCTGGCTGGGAACAGGGGCTCACCCTTGTGGGGTTTCTCGGGGCTTCTCATTGACATTTCCTCTTAGGGTAGGGGTGGGCCAGGTAATGGCAAGATTCACATTTGACATAATTCCCCTTGAGGTGAACTTCTGCATATGTGGGTCACTGCATTAGGATATAGTTTTGCCTGCAGTAACAGTTGCCAAAATTAATTGGTGCCTAAAACAAGACAGATGTTTCTTTCCATCTAACAGAAAGTCTGGCTGGGCCATACAGGGCAGATGGAGTGACTTCAGAGTCATCCAGGCCTCCTCTGTCTCATTGTTCTGCCCTCCTCAACATTCAGCTTCTACCTCATGGCCCAAGATGGCTGCTTAAGCTCCAGCCATCATATTTGCATTTGAGCCAGTGAGAGACGGAAAGAGGCAAGGAACGTTGTGTATGCCTCTTTGATCATTTTCCATTGAGCAAACCATGGTTACACAGCCTCAGGGAAGACTGGACAATATAGTCTTTATTCCAGGTAGCCACTTGCCAAGCTAGAATCCTGTTCTAAGGAGGAAAGATGTGGTAACGGTGGACAGCAAGCATATATGCTACACTGAAGAATTATGTGTTAACATCTGACATGGGAAGTGTGGGCATCACACCTAGGCGGGTGGGGGAGGTTCCCATGCTATGAGTGGAGTTGACCTGGATGTAGGCCTCTGTGAGGTTAATAGCAGGGGTGGGTATCCGCAGGGCTTGCCAGTGTGCAGGTGCAGGCTTAGACTTACCCCCTGCCCGCATGTGCCCGCAGACACCCTTGGTGCAGGAGGTGCACCAGAACTTCTCAGCCTGGTGTTCCCAGGTGGTTCGTCTGTACCCAGGACAGCGGCACCTGGAGCTGGAGTGGACAGTGGGACCAATACCTGTGGGGTGAGTAGCACCCACTGGGACTTGGGGGGTGGGGGCAAGGGCAGGGTGGGATAGGTGAAGCTCACAATCTTGCTGTCCCCTCGGGTCCAGTGACGGCTGGGGGAAGGAGATCATCAGTCGCTTTGACACTGGGCTGGAGACAAAAGGACTCTTCTACACAGACAGCAATGGCCGGGAGATCCTGGAGAGGAGGTGGGGTGACTGGGGGCAGTAAAGAGTGGTCTGTGGTGTGTGGGGGCCCAGGCTTGTGGGGGCGTCTGCTGATCCTCTGAGTGTGGGAGGGAGGGGATGAAGGGGGAGTGAGGAATGGATAGACCGGGGAAGGGGAGCTGGACCCCAGGCCTGACCAAACCCTCCCCCCCCCCCAGGCGGGATTATCGACCCACCTGGAAGCTGAACCAGACTGAGCCAGTGGCAGGCAATTACTATCCAGTCAACAGCCGCATTTACATCAGGGTAACACCTCCCCATCCTGCTCCCCATTTCTTAGCACCCCTCCACAGAGTGGGGGTCACCATCATTCTTAGCATCTCTTGGCTGTCCTTGGTGGTCTCCACCGTCCCCTGTGATGCCTGTCTGGGGGCCATCGCTGGCTGGCTGTGGGACCCCTCACTCTCCCCACACCCCCCGACCCCCAGGATGGCAAGGTGCAGCTGGCTGTGCTGACTGACCGCTCCCAGGGGGGCAGCAGCCTGAAGGACGGCTCCATGGAGCTCATGGTGAGTGGCCAGAACCCTGTTTCAGCCAGTGCCCACCCTGGCCCCCTACTGGGCCTTGAAAGCCTGTTTCTGCTCCGTTCTCTGCTAGGTGCACCCCACTGCCTGTAGTCCGCACTAAGCTGAGACCTCCATTCCTATGTGGAAAGTTTACTCCAAGCTTTTGTTCAGTCCCTACCTAGCTCCCCATCTCCTCCAGGCCCTGACTTGCCCTATCCCGTTAGATCCTTCCCTCCCTCTGTCCTAGTCCCTTGCTAGGTTGGATCCCCACTTCTGCGGGCGGTCCCCTACTAGACCTTTCTCTGCATCCATTCTTCTCACTCTTTAGTTTCTCTTGAAACTTCCACAAGCCCTCACCCAAATTTCTGGCCCAGAAATCGGCCAGAGGGACTCCTCACCCTCTCCTAGCCACTCCCCACAGGTGCACCGAAGGCTTCTGAAAGACGATGGACGTGGAGTAGGGGAGCCCCTGCTGGAGGAGGGGTTGGGGCTGTGGGTGCGAGGGCGCCACCTCGTGCTGCTGGACAAGGCTCCGACCGCGGCCACCGGGCACCGGTTGCAGGCAGAGAGAGAGCTGCTGGCCCCGCAGGTGGTGCTGGCCCCCGGTGGCGGCGCTCCCTACCACCCGGGAGTCGCCCCGCGCAAGCAGGTGAGGGGTGGAGCCGCCAGGTAGAGAAGACCCCAATGAACCACGGAGGGTTTTCCTGGCCTTAGGCGGGACCCACTCCGCCCGCCCCTAACTTGTCCTGGGGAGGCCATAAGCTAGTCCCACCCCCTCAGCTCAGCTCCATCGCCCGGCAGTCCCGGCTTGCTGAGTCCCATCCCGCCACGACTGGGTCTTAGCGCAGCCTCTGCCCTCTCCCCTCCGGCGGGCTCCACTGGGCCCCACCCTCTCGCCCCTTCCACTTCCCCACGCTCGGTCCCGCCCCCTAGCCCCGCCCCCTGAGCTTCAGCCCCGCCCTATCTCAGTGGGTCCCAAGCCATATCAGGTCTGCCCCTTCCGGGCTCGGGCCCACCCCCAGCCTGTTTACCGCCCTTCCCTGGGTCTGTGCCATCCTCCTTGGCTTAGCCCGACCCTTTCTAGCTGAGTCTCTTCCCTCCCTGAGGAAACCACGCCCCTTGCGTCAGAGCCCCGCCTCCTAACCGCGCCTCGGCCCCACCCCCTTCCTGCAGTTCTCAGGGCTCCACCGGGAGCTGCCTCCCTCGGTGCATCTGCTCACACTGGCCCGCTGGGACAGGACAACGCTTCTTCTGCGCTTGGAGCACCAGTTCGCTGTAGGAGAGGGCTCTGGCAACCTAAGCTCCCCGGTGACCTTGGATTTGAGGGTGAGGAGGGCAGAAGTGGAACGGAGACAAGGGAGAGGGGAAACCCTGCTTTGTCCCCACTCAGCCGGGCCCGCATCCACTGCCTACAGGACCTGTTCTCTGCCTTCACCATCACGTACCTGCAGGAGACCACGCTGGCGGCCAACCAGCTCCGGGCCAGCGCTTCCAGGCTCAAGTGGACGCCAGCCACGGGTGGGGGCCTGCCCCGGGAGTTGGGGGCTGGGGGCTGTGTGGGAGGTGTGGGAATGTTGGCCAGGACCGGGATAGAGCTCTAGCGTCTAGGGCGGTGTTCAGATCCAGGTTAGGGGGTTAAGGGTCTTAAGTGGGTCTAAGCAACTAGCAGTGGGTCTTGAGGGTTTGAGATGGGATTCCCTGGGTATCTAGTTCTGGGGAGAGGGGTGTGCCCATCACTCCTGGGGTTGGCATGATGGTCTTTAGATAGGGCTTGAGGGTGTGAAGGAGATGGCCCGACATCAGGGACAGATTGGGGGATCTGGGGATGGTATTCAGGGCCTGGGAGACAGTTTAAAACGGGTCTGGGAATAAGGCCCTGGGGGATAGATTTGAGGGTATATGGCTGTGTGGAGGCCGAGGGGAAGGAGGAGGGGGTGAGGCAGAGGAAGTTGGCACCCCTCACTTCTCCCTTGCACCTCCCCAGGCCCCACAGCCCAGCCCTCTCCCTCTGGGCTGGACCCTGTCACCATCACGCTGCAGCCCATGGAAATCCGCACCTTCCTGGCCTTGGTCCAGTGGAAAGAGCATGGCTAGATATGCTGGGGGCAGGCCCACTCTCCCCCTCCTGCTGCTGCTGCTGCCACCAACAAAAGCCATTAAAATGCCACTACCAAGACTTGGGTCAAGGTGTGACTGAGTGGGGCTTTGTTTTTTGTTTGTTTTTGGAGGGGGATTTCATTTATGGCCTAGAAAGGTCAGCAAACACTAGTTGACTCTTGACCTGAGGCCTGGCAGGGAAGTCACACCAGATTACACCATCCACACCCCACTTCATTCACCACCGTCTTCCACTCCTCCTTCACTCCGTCCGCTCAGGCTGTGGCACAGCTGTCTCTAGAAGCTACTGAGAGTGGGCCTGCATGGGATAAAGGCCCAGAGAACCAGACGTACCCTGGGGCCTTCCAGACCTGGCCTTGGGGGAGCCAGGCTCTGAAGGCAAGGAGTCTAGGGTCCTGGTGAAGGGGGTAGAATAGGAGCCAGGTTCCAAAGTGAGGCCTTGGACAGGTGGGCTAGAGCTGCTGGGCTCCCAGGAGATAGGCAGAGAGCCTGGTACGCCTGGTGTGTTCTGGGGTCTGTTATGGAGGAAGGACACTTTGGGAAGAAACTGGTGGTTTAGACTCGAAAGTGAGTGACTTCCCCTCCGGTCAGGACAGCCTTATGCAGGTGCCTTAAAGGTGCATGGAGGTCAGTAGGGCATCCCAGGCTGACCTGCAGCCCATGTTTGGACGCATGCACCCCTGATTGTCAGATGCACCTCCAGAAAAAATTTTTAAGTCCCTCTTGGGGTGGCAGGCATGAGTCTGGGCAACTAGAACCTCTGGGGAGGGCACCAGGGGCCTAAATAAGGTCCCAGATGGGGCCTGGGTGCTGGATGTGCCTCTTGAAATTTTCTCTAAGTCCCCATAAAGAGATGGACCAGAGATGCCCAAGGAGGGAACTCCAGGCAAGTTGCCATTCTATATGGGGTCTAATCACTGGATGCACCTCTCAGAAGCTTTTTAAAGTTTCCCTCCAGGGCACCTGGGTGGCTCAGTCAGTTAAAGGGCTGCCTTTGGCTCAGGTCATGATCCCAGTGTCCTAGGATGGAGCCCCATGTCAGGCTCCCTGCTCAGCAGGGAGTCTGCTTTTCCCTCTGTCCTTCCCCCTGCTTGTGCTCTCTCTCAAATAAATAAATAAATAAAATCTTTTTTTTTCCCCTTTCCCTCCGGAAGGGAAAGGCAGCAAAACCAGGCAGGGTAGTCCGGGGATTGTGCCCCAGGGGCGTCTGCTGCCCTGTGTAGGGTCCGATCTTAGGAGGTGCCCAACAAATTTGCTTATAAGTATTCCTCTGGTGGCAGGGAAAAGACCAGCCGGGTAGTGCACCTTAGGGATGACATCTTTGGCCTGGTAGTCCATGGGATCTCCTGAAAACATGCAAATCCTCCTCCAAAGGCAGGCACTGTCCTGGCTGGCCAAGGAGACTCATGAAAGTTGCCCTGGGTCCTCCTGCAATCCCACATGGTGCCCGATTGTTGGATATAGCCCTGTAAACCTCTGTAGCTGTTCTCTGGTGATGGAGACAAGCACAGGCTAGCCAGAGAGACTCGGGGGGGGGGGTGGTATGCGCAGGGCCAGGCTGTGCTTCTGCATGGGCCCTAGTATTGGACCCACCTGGTGGTGCCTCCTGAGAACGTATCCACATCCCCATCCAAAGGGAAGACACCGAGTGGCCTGCGCTGGACAAGTAAACCCATGAAGGATGCCGTGGTGTCAGGTGTTTTCACTCTTGGGTCCCGGTCGTTGGGAGCACTTCCCGAAAAGTTTCTATATTCTTTTCTGGAGGTCAGCACCACCCAGTGGCTGAATGCACTCCTCCTCCCCCTACTTCCTAGCCATCCGGGGAGGCCCAGGGAGAGTGTTCCAGGCCCAGCTGCGGTCACATGTAGGCCTTATTCATCACATATGCCACTGGAAAATGTTTCCAACTCCTCTACAGGAAGGCCGCACCGGGGAGGGTGTCCTGGGCCCAGCAGCCTTCCTGTGCCGGGGGGCGGAGACTGAGCTGAGATGGCCAGGGAGGCCTGTGGAGGGCCAGACTCGGGGTCTAGTCACTGGAAGCACCTAGTGAAAATGTCTAAATTGTACTCTGGAAGCTGAGAGCAGCCTAGGCCACCCCGGGAGTTCCGTGGATGGTGCCCTGGGCCCATCAGGCTACTCCTCGGCCGCTGTGCGCCAAGGGTGAGACCCATGCAAAGTGGCACCTGGGGTTCCAGGTTCATCTAGGTCGCGCCGGTTGAACTGCGCCACCTGGCGGCTGTTTTAATGTCGTCCCCGGAGCTCGGCTGTGCGGGCCTGGAACGGGATCCAACCCTCAAAAGCAAGGCGGAGTTCCAGGAGACTGGTGGCAATGTTGTCCTCGCTGCGACACACGCTGCCTCTGGATGGGCTCCCCTGAGATTGTCACTGCCATATAGAGGAGAGCGACATCCAGGAACTGCACGGATGGGCTGAATGACACACGGCGGTTCCCTCCGCCCATGGGGACTCCCTTGAGACGTTGCAGGTAATGGGGTAGAGAGTCCGGCGGGGGGCGGGGGGAAACTTGGTGCCTGGTTTCTAGGTTCTCCTTCCAGAGGCCGGGATCATGGCCAGGAAAGCCTGGGAGCGTTTCCCTCATCTGGCTGCTGTCCTGCATGGGGCAGGTCGCTGGATGTGCATCCTGAAATTTCCCCATCTGAAGAGGGGGTGGGGAGGCCCAGGGAGGGAACTCTGTGCCCAACTGCACTCCCAGTGGGGGCCGTTCTTGAACACTTCCCCCAAATCTGTGGACGTCTCCCTGCGGTGGCAGGGTCCATCCTGGGCCAAACAGTCATCCAGGGGTGGGCTCATTGGACCTGGTGGCCGTCTCCAGCGGGGACCTGGTAATCTGAATCATTTGCTGGAAGGGCTCCTGGGTGGCTCAGGTCATGATCCTGGGGTCCTGAGGTCCTGGGATTGAGCCCAGCCTCTGGCTCCCTGCTCAGTGGGGAGCCTGCTTCTCCCTCTCCCTCTGCCACTTCCCCTGCTTGTGCTCACTTGCCCTCTGTCAAATAAATAAAATCTTAAAAAAAAAAAATTTTTTTTAAATCACTTGCTGGAAGTGTTTCCAAGGTAGGGGTGGGGCACTGGCTCTGGCCAGTCAGGAAGGTGTGACTAGGATGCCCTGGGTGTGCGGGCCTTCCAAAAAGTTTTCTAAGTCTCCCTCGGAAGGCTGAATCCTTTGAGGGCTGCGAGGGAGGCTTGAGGAGGTTGCTCCTGGCAGGCAACTGTCCTCAGTGGGATTCCAGTCACTACCTATCCCTTCTGAAAATGCTTCCTGAGGAAAGGAAGGCCCCAAGTCAACTCCCTACACAAGGCGAAGAGCAGTCACGTGTGGGTTCACTGGATGCACCTCCTGAAAATTTTTCTAAGTCTCTCCCCATGGTAACAAGCCTGCCAGACAGGGAGGCCAAGGGAGGGTGCCGAGGTCCTGTCCACAGCCCAGATTGGGCCCAGTAGTTGGTAGAAGTGTTGTCGGGGTGCTCAGGTCCTCCATCCTGCACAGGGGAGACAAGATGACTTCTAAACCAAAGATGGAGAATCAGCTTGTCTAGAGTCAGTGATGACTGGGGAAGGCATTCAGGTCTGGCCGTGGGGATGCGAGAGGTCACGGCTGTCTCATGCACTTCCTGAAAGAGTTTCCGATTCCCCTTGCTGGAGGGGAGGCACAGTCTTGGGCCTGTTAGGGATGCACTGTGAAGGCACCCTGGACAAGAATGCGGATCTCTGAAGGGCCTGCTTGTTGGAGGCACCCCCTAAGTGTGTTAAGTCCCGATTGGTGGAAGTGTCGGTCTGTGTTGCCAGGCCTCATGTTAGCCCTGGTGATCTGACTCAGCTCACAAAGACATTTCCCATTCCTGGACAGCCTGGCAGGCTTGCAGAGGGAACCCAAGGCTAGGCCTCAGTCCATCATGGGTCATGGTCATGGAGGGTGCCTCCCAAAAATTTTCTTAGTCCCTCTTTGGAGTGTGGGACTGGCTTGGGCTGGGTGGAGAGGGATAAGAGGGAGACCTCAGCCAGCCATGGTCCCACGGGGGGCCAACTTTAGTATGTTCCAAATTTTCTAAGTCTCCAGCCTGAACTTGCTAAGGACACCCTGGGAAAGTTCACTGGGCCCAGCCACTATCCTGCATGAAGCCTGGTTGTCCGATGGGCTTTCTGGAAATTTTTCTGGATCTCGTTAGTGTCGTGGGCATGGGCCATGTCTGGCCAAAGAAGCCTGGGAAGATGCTCTGGGCACAGCTGTGGTCTCATGTGGCTTCCATGCATTTGGAGCATCTCACAAAATGTTTTCTAAGTACCCTCCGGAGGGCACCCAGAGCCAGGGTGCAATCCAGAGTGGGTTCTGTAATAATTCGCTAAGGCTGCCCTAACAAAGTACTATTCCAAACTGGGCCCCTTAAACAGAAATTCATCTGACAGTTTAGGAGACTAGATGACCTCGTTCATCTTAATTAATTATATGTGCAATGACCCTATTCCCAAATAAGATCGTGTTCTCAGGTACTGGAGGTTAGGACTTCAACATATGAATTTTAGGGGACACAATTCAACCCGTAACAGGTTTCAGGCATTGGAAGCGCCCCCTGTGGTTTTCTTAATCCCCTACCACAAGCTTGGACTGGCTTGGGGCAGAGAGGGAGGCTTGTGAATAGCCCTCAGGCTGCCCTACATTTTGGGGTCCCACTGTTCAGATAAGCCTTCCCCGAATGTCAATGAAAAGGAGGACCAGTCCAGGTGGAGCAGGAGGCTCAGGGAGGGTACCCCAGGACGCTGCATGGGACTGACTGCTGCTTGGTTATAGGAGGTGCCCGCAGTGTTTCTAACTCTCCCTCTGTTGTTTTTGGGGTGCAAATACCAGGCCCTACATGAGACCGTGGCTGAACTCTCAGCACCTTCCCCCAAACCCGCTGGTCGCTGGATATGCCTGCAGATTTTTCTAAGTCCTCCTCCTCTACATGCCTGTCCTTCTGCCAGGCCCATAATGTTTTGATTACTGGAGCTTTAAGTGTTGAAATCGGGGAGTGTGAGACCTCCACCTTTTTTCTTTTTAAAGATTGTT